ATAGATGACTCTCTTCATGGTTGGGTTCAGGCAAAGTAAAGCTTGACCCTAAGATGTGGAAGAAACAAAGGAAATAAATTCAGTACAGATTTAGTAGTGCAAATCCTTCCCTCACTCATATAAAACTTCAGTCTAACCTAAGGTCCTTCCTCACTCTTCTGCTTCAGTACAGTCAAGTTTCTCCCACTTATACATTACATAAGTAGTTTTAATTCCTATCACCAGTCTTCCCTCCTTCACTACAATACAGGGAGCCCCCAAGTTTGCAGTCCTCTTTTATTCCAGACGGCACCCTGGCTGTACCCAAGAATGTCTGTGGGTGGTTTTAAAGTTGCTGTCATTTTTGCAGCTGGGACAGGGAGCCATTTGATCTAGAGACAGTAATTTCCTTTACCTTTACTTGCATTGTAAATATGTGTAGACACACAACACACAAACAAATAAATAATAATTAGAAAATCATCTCACAAATATTAAGAAGCAAGTGTATTAAAAAAGTGACAGTCTACCCTCAAGTCAGGGCTCTAATACTTTATTCATAAAGCACAGACTTTAGGTTACTCACATTTGTAATCATTTTATTTTATTTTATTTTTTATTGTGAGAGTATTTTACCATTATTATTATTTATTTGTGTGTGTGTGTCTACATACACATACGAATATACAATACAGGTAAAAGAAATAATTGTCCTAAGGGCAAACACATCAAGGGAATACAGTATACATTTCTTTGTATGCAAGTAAATATGTATCCCCCCCCCTCCTCCCCCCTTATTTTGAGAACCAAACCCCAGTGAATTTAGGGGGCCCCTTGCACTCTTCAATCATATCTCCAACAGTCTTCCCTATCATTAACTTTATTAAACATAGCATAAACTGTACAACTAGCCTTCCCTCTCACTCAACTGACCATAACAGCATACAGCTCACAGGCAGGGAAAGTTGATAATCTTGACCTACCCCTGGCTCTCTTCCTTTCCACATTTAGACTTGTGCATCTCTTGACCTAACTGGTTTCCACCCTCCGCTCCATATACCTACACCATATCTACCCATCTCTATGCAAAACTTTGTCAATATCCATCCACCTTCTTAGCTCTGAACAGGGCCTACTGTACTGTCTTACACCCTGGTTATGGCCTTGAGTACAGATATGTTCAATTAAGAGTTTAGCTATTAGTCACAATGGACTTCCCATACAGCAGCAGGTGAAGTTTGTGTCCATCTCAGGTTAACTTCAGTTGGCTGGTTATGTTGATGATGCCACTTGGTGATGGTAGTAAAGTATTCTTCCCAGTGTCTACAGTGTCATACCTTCTGGTCCACTGCCTCAGGAAGATGGTACATCATGTCACCTACAAATGGGGATTCTTTCTTCAGTAATGTTAAGAAACAATGGTAAAATAACCTAGTCATAATTTTGTCTCTTCAAATGTTAATACTATACCATGAAAAATTAATTTATTTACCATATTACAGGGTGTCTACTGGCCAGACAAAACAAAATTCCTTGGATTTTCCAGGTGTAAATTTGAAAAATTCCAGGTACAATAATTCAGTATTTATTATGACAATAACAAAATTAAAGGTTTTCAATAATATGTATATACTGTTGGGAAATATTTAAAGAAAATATAAATTATATTAATCAAGAAATTGAAGATCCTTTCATGACCCATCCTAAGCCTAGTGATGAACATCGGCAAAGACCTTAACACACCCCCCCCCTCCATATTTTTCTCCTCGGATTTGTGAGATTCACGTGGGTCGAATTAGACATTCCAAAAAAGCTGGAAAACTGGCAAAAACCAAAAAATCACACTCCTGATCAACCTACAGGATGATTCATGATTAATATGTGGAATAATCCACTTAAATAAAGTCACTTAGTTATAAGAACAATTCAACCAACAATACTCATTACAGAATTATTATGAATAACCTGTAATATTTAGTTATTTGAAATATGATACTGTAGGTACACAAACAAGTCAGTTATTGGAGTGGTCTATTACTGAAATTTGTTCCCAAAAGTTTAATTATTTACCTATTATAAAGTACATCATTAATTTATGGTAAGATTGATGTCAAAATAACAATAATTTGAAGTTAACGGAATTCACATAAAATTCAAAGTTCATTTGTAAAATTCCCAGCCCTTTCCAGGTTTTCCAGACCCTGGGACAAACTTACCGGTACTAAAAACCTTAGACTGATAAAAATGAAGATACAGGTATTGTAAATTTTGAAGAAAATGTATATAAAGGTGATTTAAGAAGACTTTTAATAGTGTACCACATCATAGGTTATTATACAAATTAAACAAAATTAGAATTAACGATAATGCATTAAGACAGATCGAAGGATTCTTAACTGTTAGAATACAATGTGCAACAGTAAATAGAGCTAAATCTGTGGGTGAAAGTAACAAGTGGAGTTCCACAAGGATCAGTCCATGGAACAGTTTTACTTTTTATATTTGTCAATGATTTGCCAAATAACATCCAATCAGTTTGCAAAATGGTTCCGACGACACAAAAATCTACGATATGGCAGAGGAAGTGGCAACACATACTTTGGTTGGTTAAGTTAGGTACTACTCAGAAGAAAGAGAGACCCTCATTTTCGATTACTAAGTGTTATTTAAGCATTTCCGACTTACGACCTGGATGTCGGTCCCTAACCCCGTCGTAAGTCGGGGAGCAGCTGTATATTACAATGATATTCTATTAATACTGTGCTCGATATAATACATTCACGGAAATATAATATTTTTGCTGAAATGACGTACGTATTACAGTGGAAAGTGGGATAAAATCACGACGAAAACAATCGACTTCCGCTTTCTTTCGTTGTTCAGAAGAAGTTACCGTAATCGCTTTTCGAATGGTTTTCAGTTAAAAAAAACTGTTGTATTACAATAATATTCCCTCCTAATTGACTTGAATAAATACTTGAATGAAAATATACAATATTTTTGCTGAAACTACCCGTGTTTCAGTGTAAAGTGTCGTAATAATGGTAAACAATTTGCCTTCGGCGCTTGGTGTTTCCGGCACGGCGACCCTCAGTTTAAAGGACATTAGAGTGTTTTTAGTGAAGGTTTTGCTGTTCCATTACCCTCAAAAACTTGGGTCGACCTATAAATGAGGCATATCATAAATTAATGATTTCTTGGTCAAAAAATCAGGGTCGACCTATAAACGAGGTAGAATTATAGACGAGTATATACGGTATATACAATACAGGTAAAAGAAATAATTGTCCTAAGGGCAAACACATAAAGGGAATACAGTATACATTTCTTTGTACGCAAGTAAAAATATATCCCCCCCTCCACCCCCATTTTGAGAACCCGACCCCCGCGAATTTGGGGGGTCCCCCCTGTGCTCTTCAATCATATCTCCAGTAGTCTTCCCTATCATTAACTTTATTAGACATAGCATATACCGCTAAGTTAGGTACTACTAGGTTCTAATAAAAGCAAGATTGAGCCGATAAGTAATTTAGCCAATTACTGATTAATCGGTGGTCAATAATCGACCGATTATAAAGAATTTTAAATCGGATTTATCAATGAAATTATTGGTAACACAGAGTTAAAGACATCACCCTAATGTAATTTTTTACTAACTTTTGCTGCCCACCTGCCATCTCCTATATGGGGAGCAAATGGTTTTAGTTATTTTCCACCTTATAAAGTCTAGTTTGTGTCGTGACATCTTGTTATGTACATACTGGTTGTAATTTGTTGCAAATTCCCATTTCTCTTGTTCTTTGTGGTCAATGTAGATGCTAATATAAAAGGTAGAGTGAATATAATGTACCTAACATCTGAAGCACTATCTTTCCTTCTCAGTAACAGTCTGTTTGGGACCTCAGTGTTTAAATATAATTACAGTTTGTATTTACTTTAAATACCACTTTTTTTTTTAATTCTAATAAAAAATACGTAGGTGTTGGTTGTATTTGTTTGTTTTTAAAGTAGCACAAAAACATATCCCGAGCTTGCCTCAACATACACATGCAAGAAAACATGACACACCTACACCATAGGAGGCACTACGCATTAAAAGGGGTGAAGCGCCAAATTCAAAAACCTGAGAAAAATAAATTTAAAGTTTTTTGAAGTTCAAACAACCATAAAATTTGTGTTTTTTAAGCTTGAGGGTTAATTTTTTTATGGTGCAGCTCAATCCCTCTCCCAGCAAACTGTGAAAACTGGAAGTTAATACTGTACTGTGAATAGTTATTATTTTATCGCGAGTTGAATGAGAACAACTACCCGTGATGTACAGTTGTTTAATCTTCACACCCAGAATAATCGCATCTTTCTGCCAAATGTTCTTATTATTGTGGACTAATACTGTAAAACAAGTTAATGGTCACCAAAAACAGCACTTGTCTGACCCCCCCCCATAGACCCACCCCAAAAAATGAAATAATAATAATAAACTCATTTGTCTACAAGTATTTATCTTTCCGTCCCTATTATTAGTCAAAGATTAATAATATTGTTAAGTATAATAGTGAGTAATAATAAGAAACCACTACGCCCATCTCCCCCCCCCATGTAATTAACATATGAATATAAAGGCGGAGAAAGTTTGCATAATCTTTGGTAAAAACAATATTATGATAATAGTATTACAATCTTACTTTGTTTAGTTCCTTCGTTTTATTATCCATGAAGATCGTAGTAACTTGAAGTTACGTAAATCCTGAGGAGTGCGTATAGCTTCAATGGCCTCATCATAATCAATCGGGTACAGTTTCATTATAACACTGAGTTATGGGCTCACTTTCACTAGCATTCGTTGGGTCAGGCTCACTTTCATCACTATCAAGGTCTGTCTCATCACTGTCCACTTCTACCTCCTCACACACAGTCTGATGTTCTTGTTGTGATACATTAGTGTCACTGTTTATGTTATCATTAGTCTCACTGTCATCATTTTCATCTTCACTTTCATCGTCATTATTGCCGTCAGTGCATGTCACGTAACTGTACCGGAACAGTCTGCAATAAGGTCTTGTGATGCATAACAGTCACTTTTGTATTATGAGTACTATACCAAAATCACTATCACCAAGCATTCCTGGGGTGTCAACGTGAGCACTGTCGTCACTAAACACACGCTCAGGAACCCACAACAGAAGGCCGAAAAGTTATAAAAAATAGTAGTAGAAAGTAAACTGAACCTCCTTATGCTATACAATGCACCAAAACAAACAAGGAGGCAGCATCCGGGAGTGCAGATTGGCCGAGGAGTTGTGACGTAGAAAGGGGAAATTGTGATTGGCTGCCTCAGGGGGTATGGTCCAAGGGAGGCGCATTGTCATTGGCTCGCGCTATGAATGGGATGTTGCCACCTTCTTTGACTGAGCGCACAGCCAGATACGTAGCTCCAGGCCAAAACACACCTTATTTTTGAAGGACTTTCTACCATACTTATATTCCAGCTCGAGGGTTACATCCAACATGTAGAGGAAGGGTCAAAATAGCGATATCCACCAAAAAACGCATTTTGACCGGGGTGTTGCTTCACCCCCTTCTAATGCTGAGCGCCTCATATGATCATCAGCCATAGCCGAAAATCTTCAATTTCTTGGGCCTATGTAGACTTGTAGATTGGGTGTTGTTGTGCTGTATTATAAAAGTTGAAATATTTCACATTTCTTGGTTGCGATAAAAGGCAATTTTATGTTTCACTTAGAGCTGCAGCAATATTTATGTTAAACACTATAAATTAAATTTAAAGTTGAATTTTATGTTACTGTTGTTGAATAATCATGATTAATTCTTCGTTTGTTATTAATGGGGTAACAAAATATTTCTGGTCCAAGTCAGGTAGACCAGCCATACAATGTCAGCAAAGGGCTCAAAAGTAAGAGAGTTTTCTGTTCATGTCTTCTATGGCATTTCAGTCACAAATGAATAATAACCGAGAAATAAGGTAAGATAAACAGTAAAATTGCTGCATTTTAGGTATGAAAGAGGAGGGGGGGGTTCTGAATATATGGTTAATATATGTTAGGTCAATTGGGAATCCACCACATACAGCAGACTATGTGGCTAAACAGTTCAGCATCTATACAAACAATGCAAGTACTGTACAGTTCAGCCTGTACAAAGTGTTGAACACTTGGCAATATCTGGCATCTACTTGTGAGTTATACATATATGACTGGGATATACTAATAACACTACTTGTCATCACATATTAGGCCTGAACCACAAAATGGGATAAAACTCTCTTTAATATCTAAGATCTTCGGGCACTTACATGCCAAATACTGTCAAGTACGGTACCTGGATAGAGCTTTTTGTGGTGAAAATAAAAATAAGATGAGG